AAAAAAAAATGAGAGAAATAAAAGGATGTTTGATCTTTTTATTTTTCTCCTATGCCCTTCACTCGATGGAAGAAATTAAAAATAAAAAATAAAGTTATTTTTTATTTTTTTTAATTTTCTTTGATAATTATATAGAGAAATTGCCTCCCTTCCTTCTTGCCTCTCCCCTCCCCTTAAAATAATTAAACATGCCCTCATGGTATCTCCATATATCACATCACAGGTCCACATCACAAGTTCGTTACGCACTATAAATAAAATTAATTAATAAATATTTATTTAAGGATATATGAAAATATTATTAAAAGACAAAATTGTATCTAAAATGGTCGTTGAAAATGTAATCCAGTAAAGGCGGTGGAGAACATGTGCAATAAGACAATGAAAGGCACCTAATATAGTGGTGGAACTAAACCGGAAAAGTCACAATATTCCAAGATAAAACTATCGGCCCATCTTCATCCTCTGATTCCTCATCGCCATCAGCATCAATATAAACCTTTGCTTTTTCTCTTCCTCTTTTCCAGCTTAATCAAATCAGGATTGTTCTGTTCTCTCTTCTCTGCTCTGCTCCAACACCACTAATCTAATGGTAGCTTCTACAATTAGGAAGGCAGAATATATGCCTTGCATTATGTATGTCTTTATCATAAACTAGAAAGTTTTTGGTGAAATTAATCACGATCGTTGTTTCAGGAATATCTAAATTGATTGTACAAGATGGGATAATTTTTTTTTTTTTTTTAATTCCCTCTTCATCCGACTTAATGTTTAAATTTGAGATACCAAGTTTTTAACCATTAAGTCATTCTATTAGAGTTGAAATTAATCATAATTGTAGCATCACAGAAAGTACAAATATGTTGTGAACAGGTGGCAAATGGAAACAAACCATATTAAAGCATCCATAGTTTATCTCAATCACAATATATAGTCACATAATCTTACATGGAAAGTAATCAAGATTAATTCTTTTTATTTAGTAAGATATGTGAATTAATATGCATATATTTATTTATGTTACGTAATTATTGTAAGATAAAATTAAGTTTCTGAGAAACAACGTCTGAGAAAGAGTAATGATGCAAGCACCGAAACTCACGGGACGAATTTAGAGGCGACTTACGTGGCTTATTTTCCATTTGTATATAAAAATTAGACATGTGCTCATCATCACAAATTTCAGATGTGGGTCCTTTTCATGGGTTGTAAAAGGCTGCATATGGGCTGTCTGTGAGGACTGAGGACTACAATTCGGACCCCAAACACATCTTTATTTGAAGTTTTATTATCATTAGAAATTGTGACAACGGAACAAATAAAATTCGTAGTGATGAGCCACTCAAAAAGTAGGAATCGGGTTTCATCAGAAAAGAAAAAGGGAATGCATGGACCAGGACGTTAAGGACAAAGACAAAATAACCAATGAATCACATACTATGTTTTTAAAGTGTGTTTTAACTGGTTTAAAATTTAAAATTTAAAATTCAATCTTATATTTAAATTTTGAGACCGATAAAAGGAATTAAGGAAAAAAAAATTATCTATTATCATATAATTATTATTTGATATACAAAATAAAATCTCATAATATTTACACGTGTGCGTATATATATATATATATATATAAACACATATTTTAAATATAAAAAATGCTATTGCATCTATTACTAAATTAATTTAAGTTAGATACACATACTCATCTTGTGTTTTGGCCTACAAGTCTAATTTTTATATACAAATGGAAAACAAGGTTACTTGAATATTTAAGCAAGGAGAACAAGACCCTTCCATGTTAGGCAATTGCTATATTCACTCTCACCAATCTCATTAGTTTATACTTTACTTTGTACCACACAAATTTTATTAGGCAAGGACAAATATATGTACAGAAGTACAATGAAATTTTTACTGGACAGCTGCATTAAACATCTGATCTTTACAAAGTATGCCTACAGAAAAGATAACTCAAATACCCTAAGTGGAACTTTAATTAATGTAATTTGTCTAGAATAAGAACATAAGTTAACCAAATTAATTATATTATTTCCAAGAATCATAAAATAATCTAAGATTCCATACTTTGAGAACAAGAAACCAATTCCTATTTCCTAGTCCTTATTCCTCCTCTACATTCATCTGAAGTTCAATTCTGCAGTTCTTTTTAGGGACATCTGAGAATAGACAAACGTTGCTCTACATTCTTTTAAATTATTTTTTTACTTTTTTTACAGTTTAGTCCTAAATTTTTAAATATTTTTTAAACCATTCCATGGGAAATGCCCCTGAATGTGGGTGTAGTCTTCCAATCCTATGTAGTCTAGACTATAAAACTGTAAATGCATTTTATATAAATGTTTTGTCAATAATATTTTACTAGGGATCCATGTATATTTCTAAAAATATTGGAACTATTTTTTTTTTATCACATGATTAAAATTGTTTAGACTAACATAAAAATTTGAATGCAAAACCACATCATACTATATGCTTAAAATGTCGTATCAACGTAAATCATAAAATGCATCAAAGATTCCTTTCTTTATTTAATAAGGTTACAAGGGTTAAATATTAAATTTTGTCTCTTTAACATTTTGCATATTTTTGGTCCCCTAACTGTATGTTGCACCCTATTGCTCATCCTCAACAGGTCTTGTAGCTAAAGCTTGATATAATCCTCCACTTCACCTAACATTTAATTTAATCTACTTAGCTAAAGCTTGATAATCCACTCCACAGCTTATATTTGTGGCCCTTCACGTACGGGATAAAATTCAATTAACCAAGATACTAAACATCGGCCAGATTAACCATTTTGGTAGACAAAATAAACTTTGAGGTCTAATTATTAATGATCATTATTTTCTTTGCTTTATGATTACTGCTTTTTTTTTTTCTTATAATTTGTTGCATTATATTACTTCTATGACTTTGCCAATAACCATTTAACATAAGTGCAAGGGTTGGATTTATTAATAAATAAGTGTTATAGTTGTATATCAAATTTAAAGTTTAAATTTTGAAGTCAATACCTGAAGAAATTATTTTCTTTAATGCATTAGGCCAATGTGGGAGTGTGCTATTAAGATTGCTAAGGAAGAGATTAATTCCAAAGTATGTAAAAACTAATCCAAAGATATGTAATTAAAAAAAAATTAACATTACTATTTATATTGGATCTTGTTTCACTAAACAAGGAATCATGTGTATCTGGCCTTTTAGGCCAAATGGCTACAATTCATGTTGAATGGTGCATCCCTCAGTTTTTTAGCTGGGTTCGAAACCCCCCTTCTCAAAAAGTTATAACTTGTTCAAAAAATTAGAAACAAAAAAAATCCAAGGAATCATGTGGCCTTTCTCGTTGAGCTTAGTTTCTTGCAATCTTTATCACTCAGCAAATTAAAGTAGATCAACATATGCTTAGCAATACATGACAGTGCAGAGGAGTAGATCACTTTGTTCCAAAAATACTCATAAAACCGATGAATTCAATTCGGACCAAACAGAAGTAACCTAAGTTGGATTGTTTAATTTGATTACAATACAATAATAGGGTTGAATCAATTTGAAATTTTATTCTAACTGATTAAATTAAAAATATAAAAATTGAACCAAACTACTTCATGAAAGGTTTCTTATTTTGCAGTTTAAATTGAACTAAATTACAAAATTAAGATCCTTAATTGGAAGAGAAAGGCTCACTATTAGAGAATTTTGCAGTATAAATTATACTAAATTGCAAAATCAAGATCCTTAATTGGGAGAGAAAGGCTCACTATTAGAGAGCCCTCCTTAATTAATTATTATTTTATAGTTTGACATAATTTAAATTACAAAATAATTTTTTATTTCATAATGGGTTCCCTATTTTGCAGATCACAAATACCCCTAGCCATTGGAATTGACGCAGCATAGCAACCAATATTGAATCCATTGAAGGACTGGAAAACACTGGACAGGGATAAATAGGCCCCATGATCTTGAGAAAAGGATAATTGCATCCCATAACAAGTGTTTTTTAATTAAACATTGAACTCTTTATAATTAATTTATTTATTAAAAAAGTATCTAATGGGAATTAAAATGTAAAACCTTAGTTATTGAATTAAAATAGACCCATAATCTTAAGAAAAGAATCATTTTGTCCAATAATTAGTATTTTGCAAGTTGATAATGAAATCTTTCTGTATACACACAAATACAAACAAAAGTTAAATTTTTGGTACTAA